ACCCACCCACGCGAAATGTTTTTTTCTTTCTCTTTGCCTATTGCTCCCTTTCGTTTGTCTGGTGTCTAAAGAGATATTGCGGAGATGCATCACATTTTCTAAGTTATGCAAATTTTGTGAGCACATACTAAGTGTCAAAAATGCTTTTTCTTATTATCTCTGTTTTATAATTAAAGAAACTGCGACTCAGAGAGGTAGCGCCACACAGCTGGGAAGGAGAACCTGCCCTGGAGAAGAGACAAGACAGAATCCTTGTCCAGGGAACTTCCCGAGGCCCTTGGTCTCCGCTGGCACGGTGGTCCCTGCTACAGACTCCTAAGAATGGCTCGGGCCCCAGGGGGCTCCATGTGGCTTCAGGACAGGGCCAGGGGAACAGAAAGGGGTCATCCAAGCACAGTCTGGATGGAGACCAGCCATGAGGGTCACCAGCCTCCACCCCTGCAGCAGAAGCCATCTTCCTAGAAGCAAGGCTGGTACCCAAGACCGAGCTAATATCCCTCAACCAGCGACCTGGGGTCCAGGCCTGAGCTGCAGAGGCCAGGGAAGGAAGGGGAGAAGCTAGTATGGGCCCTTGAGAAGGGGGAGAGACGGTTTCCCCACAGGCGAGTGGTGAGCTGTGTCAAGACTAACACTGGGAGGCCAGGCTGGAGGAGCACAAAGAACTGTCTGGAGGCTTCGCAGATAAACAGCTAGAATCTCACTCCTTCCAGAAAAGATGAGTGAAGAAACCACGATGGGTGATTGAAGAGACAGGAAGGGTAAAGGATGATGCAGGACAAGGCAGTGGGAGGGGTGGGCATGTCTTGGAGCCGTGGGCTTGTCTTGTGAGCCGTGAAGTCTGGAGTCCAACCACGGGTTGGGGTAGGAGCTCCTCCCTGCACATTAGAGGGAACCTGAAGCCAAGGTGGGCCCAAACCCAGGTTGGTGAGCGGCGTCACCTGGTGGCCAGTTCGGGCATGGCACCCCAGACACCCGAGGGGCTCAGCCTTGCAGGGCTCAGCAGGAGTCCCTCCTGGAGGACGTCTTCATCGTCTCCCTCAGCACCCCACCTACTCCCCATTTAAAGAGCACTATTGCTATTTCATAGGGTGACACACGCAGTTTTCGCTTTTACATAAAAGGAGAATAAAAGCATCCTGCAGTTTGCTGTTACTGACTTGCCACAGACTTAACCTGGAAGCAGGAAAAGTCACCGAGGAGCATAAAAAATCTCGCCCTTGGGCCCCAGCCCCAGAGGTTGGAGTTGATTAGTCTGGGCCAGCCTGGGCGTTGAGACTTTTTTTTTTTCTTCAAACCCTTAACATGCAGGCAGGGCCGAGGACCTGGGCTCCAGGTGCTCGCTCTGCAAAGACAGATAGCTTCAAGATAAACCTCCAGACCCCCTTTCCATTTGTATCTGCTGCTAAGCTGCTCCTTATGCATAAATGGGGTCTGCAAGGAGCGCAGACGTCTCTCGCCCTCCCAGCCCTCTGCAGATGAGACACAGACCCCAAGTCCAGTGACTTTCAGGGCTGAGCTCTCGACCCCATTGGCTACCAAGAGCTGGGAGGCCTTACACACAGCATTCACCTCTGTGGGCCTCAGTTCCCCCTTCTGTGATCTGGAAGAGAACAGTGGCTCTGAGTTTTTCTGGGGTCACTGGACCTTTTGAGAATGTTATGTGAGCAATGGGTCCTCTCCCAGAAGCATTCCTGTGAGGGTGACCACGGTGCCCATGACTACGGATGGCTCTGGGGCTCTAGCCCGAGAGCTGAACTGGATTAGCCCCTTAAGTCCTCACCTCGACCCCATGAGCTAGGTCCTTTAAGTCCTTTTACACATGGGGAAACTGAGGCACAGAGGGGTTAAATAATTTGTCCAAGGTCACGCAGCTGGTAAATGGCAGAGCCAGGTTTGGACCCAAACATGCTGACCGCAGGCTTGCATTCCGAACCACTCAGCTGCTGGTTCTCAGATGCTGACCCCAGGCATCTGACTCTGGAATTAATAAGCCAGTTTTATGATGAGGCTGGGAACTCCATGCCATCTGTGCACTAAGGGTGATTCACCAATGACTTCTAGGTGTTACAGATCAGGAAACACAACTGGGGAATGGACAGGACAAGCTCTGCCATGGACTCTGTGTGGACTTGGACAAGTGATCTTGCCTTTCTAGCCTCAGTTTCCCCCGAGAAGAAGTCAGAACTGGCCCCTGCCCTATAGATGGGTTAGAGGAGCACTTGAGATTGGAAAGCACATAGTAGGTGTTCATTAAAGACACTCACATGGATACATACAAGAACAATCTCAGGGCACTCACCCACCTAAATGTTCTGCCCCTAGTGTGAGCAAGGGAAATAAACTGGGTAGAAGACAAGAAAAGCCACTGAGAGCTGGGGATGGTGCCTCTGTAGCACCTGTGAGTCCCCGGGGAGGAAGCACCACAGGAACCAGGGGGGCCGGGTGTGGGGGCTCACGCCTGGAATCCCAGCACTGTGGGAGGCCAAGGCAGGCAGATTGCTTGAGCCCAGGAGTTTGAGACCAGCCTGGGCAACATGATGAAACCCCATCTGTACAGAAAATACAAAAATTTGCCGGGAAGGGTGGTTTAGGCCTGTGGTCCCAGCTACTAGGGAGGCTGAGAGGTGGGCGGATCACTGGAGTCCGGGAGGTCGAGGCTGCCGTGAGCCATGGTCACGCCACTGCACTCCAGCCTGGGTGACAGAAACCCTGCCTCAAAAACAAACAAAAACACAGAAACCGGGAAACCAGCCCCAGCTCCTGACATCATCAGAGTGATGCCACGCCCTCACATCCCCCCTCCAGATGGTGCATGCTCTTTTTTTTTTTTTTTTTAATTCTCTGATGCTGATTCAGAAAATAAAAATGTGGAGGTCCAGGCGGGCTGTGTCTGGAACTGGGAAGGTGAGGGAAGTCCTCTGTCTCAAAGGCCTCTTCAGAGGATGCTCTGGTCTTGCCAAGTTTACAGCTCCTCCCTGTCAACATCAAGTCAGGGCCCCAACTCTGTCTTGCTCATCCACCCAGCTTCCAATTGTCTTTCTTTCAAAAGACACACAGAGAAGTTTCATTTTCTTTTTCTCCTGAAACCTAATCTGGCCGGCCTGGCTAGGCGTCTATTTCCGGACTGTAAGCAGCTGACACCCGCCCGGTGGAAGTTGGCGTCCCTTCCCTTGCGGGTTCAGAGCTGCAAGAAGCACCAGGCTTGGCCACTTAAGCCCCAGCCTTGATCTAGCCCACCCTCTCAAGGCCACAGTGCAGAAGGCTGCACCACCTGCCAAGTCTCCCCGGCTCCTTGCAGCTGCTGTGAGCATGGCCCAGGCTCCTGCTGACCCGGGCAGAGAAGGTACAGTACTCCTTCCTTCCAAGGACCAGCGGTGGCTCCCAGGGTGAGATTTCCACTTCTCTTTCTTCCTGTTGTGCTTGGCCCAGATCATGATGACAATACCGGTATCCTAAAGAATAGTAGACCAACTGGGCATGGTGGCCCACGCCAGTAATCCCAGCACTTTGAGAGGCAAGGTAGGTAGACTGGTTGAGTTCAGGAGTTTGAGACTAGCCTGGCCAACATGGTGAAACCCCGTCTCTACTAAAAATACAAAAATGAACCGGGCATGGTGGTGCATGCCTGTGACTCAGGAGGCTGAGACTGGAGAATCGCTTGAACCCGGGAGGTAGAGGTTGTAGTGAGCTGAGATGGCGCCATTGTACTCCAGCCTGGGTGACAAGAGTAAGACTTCGTCTCAAAAAAAAAGAAAAAAAAAAGTAGAAAGCTGTCGTTCGACAGCTGACTATGTCCCGGGCACCTCAAAACAAGCTTCGCAAGCATTTCTCAATGGCCTACAGGGACAAGTGCCATGTCATTCCCATTTTATAGATAACTGAGGCCCTGAGAGGTGAAATGACACTCTCGGGGTAGCACAGCTGGCGAGCACTGGTGCTAGCGTTTGAACACCCATGTCACAGTCATATCGCGAACAAAGCAGTTTGCTTTGATGAGGTACATGTATGCCTTTGTTCCTTGTTGTTGCATTCTTTCCTCAACTAACATTTCATTCATTTTATTCCTGGTAAGAGTTGCAATGAAAGCCAATAGTGTATCGAGCAATTGCTGTTCTCTAGGGTCTCCACGAAGCGCTGTGGACTGTAGGTGAAGTGTGGTTTTGCAGTTTGGGGGATGGGTTTGTTTTGTTTTTAATCCTCACCGCAATCTTTGAAGTAGTTATTATTGTCTCCATTTCACAGAAGGGGAACCTGAAGCCGGGGGGAGGTCACATAGCTAGTAGTTGTCAGGGCTAGGAGCTCAAACCCAGGAAATCAGCCGTCAAAATTTTAAAAAACCAACCCAGACTGTGCCCCTGGTGGGCTAATGTCAGGGTGTGACCAGGAGCCGCGCTGGCCACGGAGTTCCTGTGGTGCTTCCTCTTCGGGGACTCACAGGTGCTGACAGAGGTTCCGGACTCAGCCCTCGCTGGCTTTCCTTGTCTTCCTCCCCAGTTGATTTTCCTTTTGTGACCAAATTGCTGCCTACACCTGCTCCATTTTACAGTTTCCCATTTTCAGACACAGGAGCCTGGGACTTAGCGGTCGAGTCCAGCCCAGCACCCGGGCTTGTCCTGCATCCACACCTCTGACCCCCATCTCCTCTTGGGTCTGTGGAGCAGAGGCGGTGGCTCCCTAGGGTCAGCCTTCCAGAATCAAAACTCTGCAGCCGGGCACAGTGGCTCACGCCTGTAATCCCAGCACTTTGGGGGGCCAAGTTGGGGGGATCACCTAAGGTCAGGAGTTCGACACCAGCCTCGCCAACAAAGGGAAACCCTGTCTCTACTAAAAATACAAAAATTAGCCAGGTGTAGTGGTGCGTGCCTGTCATGCCAGCTACTTGAGAGGCTGAGGCAGGAGAATTGCTTGAACCCGGTGCGTGTCTGTAATCCCAGCTACTTAAGAGGCTGAGGCAGGAGAATTGCTTGAACCCGGGAGGTGGAGGTTGCGGTGAGCCGAGATCATGCCACTGCAGCTGCAGACTGGGCAACAAGAATGAATCTCTGTCCCAAAAACAAAACACTCTGAGAGACAAGGTGAAGCCAGGTGTGAAGTCAGGTGCACGGGGATGCTGCTGGCTGCCGGTGGGGGAGTTTGGTAGGCGCAGGAGTGGGAATTCCCAGGTCTTCTAATTGCTCTTCACCTGCACATGGCAGCCTGTCAGCATTGTAGCCATCAGGGCGAGGCACAAACTGATTTTTCCCTCCCCTACAAGTGCTGTGACCGAAGATCCCTGGGCAAACCTAGAGAATCCTCTGAACAGGAAGAAAGCCCAGATGACAAAGGACTGAGTCACTGTCCTGGAAGGGGACTCAGGTCTTTCCAAGAAGGGCTCTCCCACGCACTGCCCTCGGGTTCCTTGAAGCAGAACCTTCTGGTGACAAGTGGGGCCCCCGCCCACCGTGGCTCTCCCAGGCTGCTGGCTGCAGGTGCTGCCTGTACCCTGTGTCTGCCCCAGCCTCATCTCCGGGCAGAGCAGCTGGCTTTGATTTTTTAATCATTGTGTGAGCTAATGGTTTTGATTTTTAAGAGCTGCCTCAGGAGGAGCAGGGGCCATTTGGAGAATTCCTCCTTGAATCTCTTGGGGTCCTGCTTAGGGCTCATTAAACTCAGGCCAGGAAACAGCAGCACCTGCCAACTGGCCAAGGAGGAGCTGCCGGGGTCTATTGAGTAAATGTCTGTCCCTAGAGACAGACACTCACTTACTCAGTCCTTTTTTTTTTTCCCAGAGATGGGATCTTGCTCTGTTGCCCAGGCTGGAGTACAGTGGTGCATTCATAGCTCACTGCAGTTGCAACCTCCTAGACTCAAGCGATCCTCTCATTTCAGCCTCTTGAGCATCTGGAACTACAGGCACGTGCCATCATACCTACCTGATTTTTTTTCTTTTTTTGTAGAGATGGGGGTCTCACTATGTTGCCCAGGCAGGTCTAGAACTCTTGGCCTCTAGGGGTCCTCCAATCTCAGCCTCCTGACATGCTAGGATTACAAGTGTGAGCCACCACTCCTGGTCCCATTCATTCATTCATTCATTCACTCAGTCACTCATACATTCAACTGCCATTTCCTGAGCACGTCCTGTGTGCCCAGCACTGTGCTAGATGCTGACGGTACAACAGTGAGCCACGCAAGTACAGCAGGGGACACTAGGGGACCCACACACAAGCAGATCCCAGCCACTCTGGAACACAGGGACAGGCTTTCCCAAGGAAGTGGCATGTGAGGAGGCCTGGAGGTTGAGTAGACATCATACAGGTTGGGATGTGAGGGAAGGGTGTTCCTGGCAGCCAGAACAGTGTATGCAAAGGGGCTGGGGTGAGTGGGGCTAAAGGGAGCACAAACAGGCCAGCACTTGGAGGGAAGTTGGGAGCAGGTGCAGGTCAGGCTGGGTGGTCGGCAGAGCCAGATCTGGAGGGTACCCGACTGGAGCTGGTGGGCCAACCGGGAGCCTATTGCTGCACCCAGGAGATGGTGGTGAGGAAGCGGGTGGTGCCGGCAGAAGAGAGGAGTGGGGCAATTCCAGAAAATCCAAGAATGGCATTTCCAGGGCTCCACGACTGGGCATTGGGGGAAAGGTCTGTTTCTGATGTCTGGTCGGTTTCTGGCTTCGATGGATAGTGGCACCATGGAAGGATGGTGAGCTGAGAAGAGGCGATTGATTCCCAGGGAGGATGGCAATGGGCATCAGGTACACCCAGGCAGGACTTGCCCTTGTGGTCCCAGGTCCCCCTGCCTCCCTCTGGCTCCATCCTTCTGCCCTCTACTCCCCTCTGCCCTGAGGACACCTGAGAGCTGAGGAACCCCACTGCCCCCTGGCACCCACACCCGGGGAGGGCACAGGCGAGGCGGCACCTCCTCTGGCTGCCAGGCCATTTCTGATCAGCCTGCATGCCTCTCTCTGGGCAGGGGCAGCTGCTCTGCTGCTCTTAGGGGGCATCTGCTGGGGTCTTTGCCCTCTCCTCTGCCCTGGACACCTCTCAAAAAGGGGCCTCACGTGTCTCTTGGAGCCTCCAGCCTGGGCTCATCTGTGGGGACCCGGGAGACTCAGTCCCTATCTCTGTCCCCCGCTCACTCCCCCAGGCCACCTTGAACAGAGGATCCTGCAGGTGCTGACAGAGGCTGGCTCCCCAGTGAAGCTTGCCCAGCTGGTGAAGGAATGCCAAGCACCCAAGAGGGAGCTCAACCAAGTCCTCTACCGAATGCTAAAGGAGCTGAAAGTCTCTCTCACAGCCCCCGCCACCTGGCGCTTGGGCGGGACTGGTCCTGGAGGCGAGGGTCCTGCAGAGCTGGCCCCGTCCAGCCCTGGTAACTGTCACCCTGGGGAGGTGGGTCTGACCAGGCAGGGACCATCCTGGCAATGGACAAGCACAGATTTGAGCCTGGGTTCGAATCTGAGTTGTGCCACTTGGGAGCTCACGGGTTTCATCTCTGTGCCTTGGTTTCTTTTTCTGGTTGATGGAGCTGACAGCAGGGCTGCTTGGTAGGGGCTGCTGAGAGAAGGCCTTGCATCAGGCTCAGCCCAGCCCTGCACACAGAAAGTACTCAGCGGAACACTAACAATTATAACAGAAAATCATCATGATGGAAACAGCAATGACATGATGGTCCTAATCACAGAACACACTCAGTCCCACCAGCCCCCCTTTTCTAGCTTTACAGCCCACAGCCAGAAAGAGCTGCCATTTGTCATGCACTTAAGATTAGCTGGGCACTGTTTTGGGGTTCACTCAGCCCTCACACAACCCCAGGAGGCAAAGGAGGTTGAGCCCCGGAGAAGTAAATCAGCAGGAAGCCGCAGCTGCCAGGGCACGGGCAGGACTTGATGTCAAGTGTGTTTAACTCTGGAGTCTGAGTTTGCAACTACCAGCGTTGCAGCTCACCCTAGGGTGCTGCCCACCTTTGTGGGGTGGAGCCCTGGTGCTGTTTTCTGTCCCCCACCCCTCTGACCCTTCGTTCTTTCTCCAGCCGAGAGGCCCCAGCAATGTGTAGCTACAGTTCCAGAGACCCCTAGCCCTCAGTTCAGTCAACAACGAGGTAAGTCATTGCATGCCCCTTCAGCTCCCGGGACACAGGATCCCACTCCTCAGGAACCCCAGGCCCTCCTTGAGGGTACGAGATCTCACCAGTGTTCAGGGGCCCTGTCCCACCCACCAGGTGGCTCCCAAACAGTGTTCAGAGCCAAGACCCAGCCCTCACAGCGGGAGAATCTGAATGTCGAGCAGTGATTTCTCCAGTCAGACAATAGCTGACCCTCACCATGCACCCACCATGTGCCAGGCCCAGGGCAGAGCACTGCATGCACATCCCCCACCCTCAGGGCACCTCTGCGGTGCGTCATCATGACCCCGTTATCGTGGTGCCCATTTTACAGATGAGGAAACCAGGCCTCGAGGGGCTGGGTCCAGGGCCACACAGCTAGAAAGCGGTGGGGCAGATGCAAATTCTAGGACTCCTCTCTAACCACGTGGCCGTCCTGCCTCCCAGAGGAAGACATCTACAGGTTTCTCAAAGACAATGGTCCCCAGAGGGCCCTGGTCATCGCCCAGGCACTGGGAATGAGGACAGCAAAAGATGTGAACCCAGACTTGTACAGGATGAAGAGCAGGCACCTTCTGGACGTGGATGAGCAGTCCAAAGTGTGGACGATTTACCGCCCAGGTAGGCCCCCAGCTGCCTGCACCTGGGCTGCAGAGGGCAACCATGACACTAGCGCTTGGTCTTTGCTGGGTGCTCTGCTGAGCAGCTCACCAGAAACTGCCAGAAGCTTCTGGAGGTCCCACTGACAGTTCACTGCAAGGGCTTCCAGGACGAAGGGGTGTGCTGGCAGGATTAACCAGGAACAGCTTCCTGGAGGCGTGGCCCAAGGGCTGCAGTTGCAGAAGGCCAGCGAATGGGATGGAGGTGGCCCATTCCCAATGTTCTCAGCTCTGAGGTGCAGGTATCAGTCTGGGTTTGGGAATAGTTTTCTTTGAGCACTTTGCCCAAGTTGGGGTTTTAAAGTTGGCAGAAGAGAAGGCAAGACTAGGCTCAGACCCCTACTGGGTGGAGCCCCAAGGTCGTCTTCCCTGTGAGATCTAAGAGGCGGAGGGCCAAGATCCAACAGGCCCATGGCACTCTTAGGGGTCCTTGAAAATGTTTTAATTTTAATTTCATTTAAAATCAGAAGAAATGAATACTATAATAATAATGAATATCTAAAAATGGACCAGGCGTGGTCGCTCATGCCCGTAATCCTAGCACTTTGGGAGGCTGAGGCAGGCGGATCACCTGAGGTCAGCCTGGCCAACATGGCAAAACCCTGTCTCTACTAAAAATACAAAAATTAGCCAGGCGTGGTGGCGGGCGCCTGTAATCCCAGCTACTCGGGAGGCTGAGGCAGGAGAATCGCTTGAACCTGGGAGGCAGAGGTTGCAGTGAGCTGAGATCACACCACTGCACTCCAGCCTGGGCAACAAAAGTGAAACTCTGTCTCAAAAGAAAATTAAATTAAATTTAATTTAATTTAAAAAGCCAGCCTGGGTTATCCTTGACATACAATGTAATTTAAATATTTGTGTATGGGGGAAGGGCCCACAAAGGCACAGGAGCCGAGACCCCAGAGGGTGGTGATGGGCCCCACACAGTCTGGGCAGGTGCCTGCCTCGACCGCCATAGGGCGACTCTGCTACTCACGATGGGTGTCCGAGGGGGTCTCAGCATCCTAGGGCTGCTATAAGGAAGGAATAATGCATGACAGTCACCAGATTTTAAACACTAGTGACAAATTCAAATATCTAAAATGTCATGGGTGTGAAGCACAACTGATCTGGCCAATGGGCTGCTGTCTCTCGGCCACTACTCAAGGGAGAAGGGCAATGGTGCAGGTGCTCGGGGGTCCGGGCTGTGGCTACCCCCCAGGGAGAGCAGTGTGGGGCCCTGCAGTCCTCCCAGCCAGCAATCATGGCGGCCTCCCATCCAGCAATCATGGCGGCCCAGCCATGGGGGCAGCAAAGGACACAGGTAGGGTGACTCACAGGGCTATTTTCAAGCGAGGCTCCCTCTGAGGTACCTGGGGTGTCTGTTAAACACTCAGCTCTGGCCTCCCACTTGGCCCTACTGACTCGAAACGCCCAGGGTATTTTAACAAGCTCCCCAGGAGAATTTGGTGCTGCCGACTGGTATTGGGAACCCCTGACCCATAGAGAGGGGCGAAGGGATAGAGTTGAATATTATTTTGCAGAAGGTTCTGGAAGAAGAGCAGAGTTGGCCTCAATTATTTACCAGCACAATCCAATCAACATGATCTGCCAGAATGGACCGAACGGCCGGATTTCCATTGCAAACTCCGAAGCCATCCAGATTGGACACGGGAACATCATTACAAGACACACAGCCTCCGGGGAGGATGGTGAGTCACCCGAGAGAGCCCGGGGAGGGGACTTCGGTGGGGGGCCACCTGATCCACTGCGTGGGGGCAAAGGGTAGGGATGGAGAGTGGGGGAATTCAGCCCTCCAAGGGGAAAGGGTTGCTTCCAGATCCCCACAGTCCACCTTTGTGGCCGTCCTGAGAATGAGGACGCCCGGATCAAAGCTCTCCTGATTTCCCTGTATTCTGATACCTTCTACGTCATTTTAAAATTTAATTTTATTTTTATTTTTTAATAAAATTTTAAAATTAAGATGGGGTAGCTCTGTGTTGCACCTGACCTTGTGCCTCATTTTCAGTGGGGTCCGGTGTTTTTCATGAGAAACGACTCAATTTCCTCTCCCTCCGCGAAATGCCAGAGGGGAGGTGATCATAGCACAGTATTTGTTCTGAGACACGCAACTTTCCCCCACATTTTAACAGGCTGGAAACTGGGGTGCATCTCACCACCTGTGCCATCCTGGTTTGGATGAAATGCGGTGTTGCACTTTGAGCCCTTACCCTGTGCCGGGCACTGTGGCAAGAGGGAACAGAGCCACCTGTTGGCCCAGCCTTGTCACTTAGTGAGTGACAGCTTCAGCCCCAAAGTCGGGACACTCCCTGTAACCTTGGGAGAACCTTTCCCCACTGTCAGCCTCAGTTTCCCCAATTGTGAAACTAGGAACTTTGTTCTAGAATCTAGATCATAGTTTCCCCAGCTTTAATCCTCCGAGCCCCACATTCCCGATTCTGGCCATACCCATGTCTGATTATTTAATTAATGTTGAGTAGTGCACATTTCTAAAATTTTATTTTAAAACAATTTTATAGTATTATTTTAAATGAAAACCATTAAAATCACCATAAAAATAAATGTTGTCCCTGGCAGTTAAAACACTGCAGGAGGCTCTGAGCCTTTGGTGTTAGCACCAAAGGAGACTTTGTCTCTATGAGATCAGAAGGCTCCGGAATGACGGAATCAGAACGAGGAGCTCATTTTTTGGGTTTGTGAGTGTCCCTGCAACATCCAGGCACCAGCCCCAGTCCTGAGAACCCAGGGAGCCCCAAAATGAGCTATTCTGCCAGGTACTCTTGCTGTCTAAGCCAGAGCCTGAAGTCTTTGGCCCCCGGTTTGATGGTGTCTAGGAAGAATTCAGAGGACAGGACTGTGGGTGGTGGTGAGGAGGGGGAAGAAGCCTGCAGTAATCTCTGGTGAGGCTGTGCCACTGTCCCCTGCCAGGTTCTACTGGTCCCCGCCACCTCCCTTCAATGGCACCAGGTCATTCCTCAACTCAGGGGACCCTGAATGATCCCTGGGGGCCCCAGGACATCCACATGGAGCGGTCCATGCTCAGACGGGTGCAGCTGGGACACAGCAATGAGATGAGGCTTCACGGCGTGCCGTCCGAGGGCCCTGCCCACAGCCCCCCTGGCAGCCCTCCAGGTAACTGGGGATCTAGAGGCCAGACCCACCCCTGTCACCCCGTGGGTCCTCACTGGAAGGAACTGGAGCCAGAATCTTTGTGGGCAGAGAAGCATGATGGGAAATTCCTTTCCTTCCACCAGGCAGCTGAACCAGAGCAGAGCAGGTGGGGTTTTTAAAGCTAGCACTCTAGGCTGGGCACAGTGGCTCCCACCTGTAATCTTAGCACTTTGGGAAGCCAAAGTGGGTGGATCACCTGAGGTGAGGAGTTCGAGACCAACCTGACCAATATGGTGAAACCATGTCTCTACCAAAAATACCAAAAAAAAAAAAAAAAAAGAACCGGGCATGGTGACATGTGCCTGCAATCCCAGCCACTCAAAAGGCTGAGGTAGGAGAATTGCTTCAACCCGGGAGGCAGAGGTTGCAGTGAACGGAGATCGCACCACTGCACTCCAGTCTGAGTGACAGAGTGAGACTCCATCTCAATAAATAAATAAATAAAATAAAGCTAGCACTCTGGATCCCCATCCCCTACAACCCACTGCAGGAAACCTCAGTTTCCTCACTTGTAAAATGGGCAGAGAAGCAGAGGCTGGGCCAGCTGGAGTAGGGTGATGGTTTGATACTGGAATGGTGTTTAGGGAGGTTGGAAGACAGGTGCCCTACTAGGTGCTGTGGCTGCAGTGACCAGAGGGCCCCGGGCAAAGGCCTCCCCCGCAGTGGGAATGCAGAGATGGGCTGGGGGAGAAGAACCAGCAGAGAAGCCAGAGAGGGAGGAGGGAAGCAGAAGCCCCAGGAAAGGAGTCACCAGAGAGGGGCCAGGCTGGCGAGCCCAGGGAAGCATCTGTGGGGTTCAGCGAGAGGGGTCGTGGTGACCTTGCGGGGGTGGTTTCTGGGAACCAGGGAGCAGAAGGGGTCTGGGGAGTGGAGGAGGTGAGACTCAGTGTGGATGGTTCTTCAGAAGTTTGGGTGGGAAAGGGCAGAGCCAGATGATAGGGGCTGGGGCCAGGCTGGGAGCCCCCATAAGATTTCAACCAAAAGTGGGGGCCAGTGTTCCAGTGCAGTGGGAAGCAGGCAGCAAGGAGAGAGGAGCTGAATCCCAGAAGACGTTGGCGTCCAGATCAGCTGGGTGGGATCAGTGGGGCAGACCCACCAGCTGGTGGAAAGACGCTTCCCAGGCAGCCCAACAGCACATGTGGAGGCGTGGTGGGCAGGCACAGGCTGTGCGCCTGGGATGGTGTGGGCCGCTGGTGGGAGGTCTGGGGAGGAGGGTGAGCCAGTTTGGGGGTCAGGGCTCCGGGCCACTATCCAGCTGCTCCTGGCTCGAGGCCTGTCTCCCTTTGACCCACAGTCTCTGCCACTGCTGCCGGCCCAGAAGCTTTGTTTGAAGCAAGAATGCCCAGTCCAAGAACTCACCCCAAGGGGGATGCCGCCCAGAGAATCTACATGAAATCGTGCTTTCTCGAGGATGCCACCATCGGCAACAGCAACAAAATGTCTATCAGCCCAGGGGTGGCTGGCCCAGGAGGAGTCGCAGGGTCTGGAGACAGGCAGCCAAGGGAGGACGCAGGTGAGCTGGGGTACCGAGTGGACCCCTGTGTGTTCTCTTTCTCTCCCCACCTTCCACTCATTCATTCATTCATTCTCATCGATCATTCACTAATCTCTGGTTTCCCAGAGTCTGGAGGCAATGCTCACCCATAGCGAGGAGCAGCAGCTCTACAGTCAGAGCTCAAGGCTCCGTCTGCCTAGTGGAGGGGCCCACCCAAGTCACTGCACCCGGGAGCCTCTGTCTCCTTAGCTGGAAAGTGGGATGGTAAGAATAGCCTGAAGCAACCCCTACAGTGGTTGCAAGGCTGAGATAAAATCTGAAGGCGGAGCTCAGCCCTGCACCAGCCCTGCCAGCATTCAGGAGATAGGAGTGTTATTGCTGTCATGATTGTTTTGGGCCCAGAAAGGTGCTGGGTTGCCATGCAAATAAGGTTCTGCATCAGGGCACAGGCTGACCTGCCGCAGTGGAGACGCCACATATGGTGGCCCCGCCTGCTCGAAGCCCAGGTCTCATGTCTGGGTGAGGGTAGCAGACCAGGGATTCTTTTACCTCAGTGATGAGTTGTCCCTGGGGCTCCATCCTCATCTGTGGGGTTGAACTTGGCACCAGCAAGCAGAGGGGCAAGACAGGGTACAGAGAGCCGCTGTTGTCTTTGACCAAGCCCACCCACCGCATCTGTGCTGTTCCGAGGGCCAGCACTTAGCCACGGGGGATCTGGGAAGTGCCGCCTGTGTCGAGGCAGCCTAAGCTCAGCAGAGACTGAGGGGAGGGGCTCCACTGCCAACAGGAAGAGGGGAGAAGGGACACCAGCGCGGTTCACCTTCCCAGCCACAGTTCTGCCCCTGGAAGCTGCACAGGCTGGTTGCAGAGCCTGAGGATCCCAACTCTGCAGAAGGGAGCTCGGGGCCTGGGGTAGGGGCAGCTGGAGAGTAGGGCAGGTCCATGCAAGGTGGATCCATACAGGGCAGGTGTACCTCGTGGGTGGAACAGTGTGGACAATGGCCTGGAGGTGAGGACATGACAGTACGGGAACCCACAGGGGTCTGAGGGTGACCTGAGTGTGGAGAGCAGAGCCAGGGTCTAGCTCCAGGCGGCAGTCGATGCTAAGGCAACTGGGAGCCATGGGGGCCTTCAGCAGGAGAGGGGCAGGATGAGATTTATGCCTCCCATATGAAGAAAGAATTAGAAGGAGGATTTCCACTCCTACCCTTTTGGGATCTGGAATAAGGGGTCACACCCAATCCCACCAGTGGGTAGAAAACGTGGATTCACAGAATCTGGAGGATTGGCCAGCATCCACCCTCCAGTGCCTGAAGGCCCAGGGGACGCATGTCCTGGAAGTCCAGAGGGTCTCCTCACCCCAAGGGCCATGTCCTTGCTGTCCCGGCACACTGAGGAGACCCTGGCCCCACGTGCCTTGCCTTCAAACTCTCCCTCTAGGACCCCTGGGAGCCCCATGTGACACCTGCGGAACGGGGGCCAGGAGCACAGGCCATGAGCATCTGGGAGCACGGACTCCCTTCCAGCAGCAAAGGGAGTCTCAGAAACCTCCAAGGCCACTGGGCACCCCCAGGAGGGCGTGTGCCACCAGCCCTCCATCCCCCATCTGGCTTAGGACCCCACAGCACAGGCCATCTGCAGAGCCCTGTGGGTCTCAAGCCAGACCATTGAAGACTCCTTTTTCTGGAAAGAACACAGCTCTGTGTTGTTAAAAAATGACCACACGCCCAAATTTGTCCTGCCACATCCTGACATTCTTCTCTGAGGTTCCAGCAGAGGAGCTGATGACATCCTTACCCCTTGTCCTGACCCACCCACCTCTCTTTGTCGCCAAGAGACATCTATAGGCATAGCTCAGAGATATTATGGGTCAGCTCCAGACCACCCCAATAAAGCAAGTCATGCAAATTTTTGATTTCCCAGTGCACATACAAGTTATAGTCACACGAGGCTGTAGTCTATTAGGTATGCACTCAATCACATTGTATCTAAAAAACAATGTATATACCTTAATGTGAAAATACCTTATTGCTAAAAGTGCTAAACATCATCTGTCTTCTGCCAGTCATCTTCTCTATGCTGGTGGAGGTCTTGCCTCGATGTTGATGGCTGCTGACTGATCAGGGTGGCAGTTACTGAAGGTTGAGGCAGCTGTGGCAATTTCTTAAAATGAAGTCCAACAATGAAGTCCGCTGCAGCAATGGATTCTCCCTTTCACGAAAGCTTTCTCTGTAGCATGCAATGCTGTTTGATGGCATTTTACTCATACTAGAACTTCTTTCAAAATTGGAACCAAGCCTCCCCAACCCTGCTGCTGCTTTACCAACTAGGTTTATATAACAGTCTAAATCCTTTGTTGTCATTTCAACAATGTTCGCAGTATCTTCACCAGGAATAGATTCCATCTCAAGAAATCACTTTCTTTGCTCATCCGTAAGAAGCAACTCATCTGTTCAAGCTTTCTCATGAGATTGCGGCAATTCGGTCCCATCTTCATATTCCATTTCTAATTCGAGTTTTCCTCCTATTTCCACCACATCTGCAGTTGCTGTCTTCACTGAAGTCTTGAACCCCTCAAAGTCATTCATGAAAGTTGGAATCAACTTCTTCCAGACTCCTGTGAATGTTGATATTTTGACCTTCTCCCATGAATCACAAGTGTTCTTAATGGCATTTAGACTGATGATTTTTTCCAGACAATTTTCAACTTACTTTGCCCAGATCCATCTGAGGAATCACTCTGTATTGCACTTATGCCTTTGTAAAATGTATTTATTGAAGAATAAGAAGTGAATGTTGAAGTTACTCCTTAATCCGTGGGCTGCAGAATGGATGCTGTGCTAGCAGGCATGAAAACAACATTAACTCTTTTTCACATCTCCATCAGAGCCCTTGGATGAACAGGTGCATTGTCAATGAGCAGAAAAAAAAAAAAAAAAAAAAAAAAAAAAACTTTTTTTTTTTTTGGCCTTCAGCCCAGGATCCTGAACACCCAGCTCCTGTGGTATGGACGATGAGCAGTAAAATGTTCAAAGGAATATTTTTTTCTGAGCAGTAAGTCTCAATGCTAGGCTTAAAATATTCAGTAAACCATGCTATAAACAGAGGTGCTGTCATCTAGCTTTGTTGCTTCATTCATAGAACACAGGCAGAGTCGATTTAGCATCGTTCTTAAGGGCCTAGAATTTCCAAAATGGTAATTGAGGAAAGGCTTCAGCTGAAAGTCACCAGCTGCAAGTCACCAGCTGCATTAGTCCCCAGCAAGAGAGCCTGCCCCCTTTGAAGCTTTGAAGTCAGGCATTGACATCTCCTCTCGAGCTATGAAAGTTCTAGATGATATCTTTTCTCAATAGAAGGCTGTTTCGTCTACATTGAGAACCTGCTCTGTCGTGCAGTCGTGCTCATCAATGATCTTAGCTAGAGCTTCCGGGTAACCTGCTGCAGCTTCTCCATTAGCACGTGCTGCCTCACCTTGTACTTTCACGTTACGGGGATGGCTTCTTTCCTTAAACCTCAAGAACCAACCTCTGCTTACTTCCAACTTCTCTTCTGCAGCTTCCTCACTTCTCTCAGCCTTTAGAATTGAATAGAGCAAGGGCCTTGCCCTGGATGAGGTACAGGCTTAAGAGACTATTGTGGCTGGTCAATCCTCTATCCAGACCACTAAAACTTTCTCCACACCAGCTGCAAGGCTGGTTCACTTTCTCATCACTCACGTGTTTGCTGAAGTAGCACTTTTAATGTCCTTCAAGAACTTTTCTTCTGCCTTCACAATTTGATTAACTTTTGACCTAGCTTTCAACTTGTCTTAGCTTTGGACCTGCCTCCCTCACCAAGCTTAATCATTTCTAGCTTTTTATTTAAAGTGAGAGACATGCAACTCTTCCTTTCACTTTAGCACATAGACGCCATTTGGGGTTCTTTTTTTATTTTTATTTTATTGAGATGGAGTTTCACTCTTGTTGTCTAGGCTGGAGTGCAATGGCACAGTCTTGGCTTACTGCAACCTCCACCTCCCAGGTTCAAGCGATTCTTTTACCTCAGCCTCCTGGGTAGCTGAGATTACAGGCCTGCACCACCACACCTGGCTAATTTTGTATTTTTAGTAGAGACAAGTTTCTCCATGTTGGTCAGGCTGGTCTCGAACTCCCAACCTCAGGTGATTCGCCCGCCTCGGCCTCCCAAAGTATTGGGATTCCAGGCATGAGCCATGGCACCTGGCCCATTGTAGGGTTATGAATTTTCCTAATTGCAATATTGTTGCGTCTCACGGAATAGGGAGGCCTGAGGAGAGGGAGAGAGAGGAGGAGACGGCTGAGCAGTGACAGGTCAGAACACATACATTTATTAACTTCATCATCTTATACAGGTGATATTTGTGGCACCCCAAAGCAAAACAATTACAATAACAACATCAAAGACCACCAATCACAGACCACCATAACACATATAATCAAAATGAATAAGTGTGAAATATTGTGAGGATTACCAAAATATGACACAGAGACAGGAAGTGAGCATATGCTGCTGGAAAAATTGGCACTGATAGACTCGCTCCATGCAGGGTGCCACAAACCTTCAACTCGTGAAAAACAAATGCAATATCTATGAAGTGTAATAAACCAAAGTACAACAAGGCAAAGTGCAATAAAATGAGGTCTGCCTGTCACTTCCTCCTTGAGTGGCAGGCAGGACCTTATCCTGAGAGGTGTAAGGCCTGGAATGTTTTTGTTTTGTTTTGTTTTGTTTTGTTTGAGGAAATTGCTGATCAGAGACTGTCAGTGCCAGGGCATGGAGAGCCATCCTTTGGGGCCCCTGGGAGGACTGGGAGAGCCCTGGGATGGGGGCTTTCTAGTATCATTTCTGCTCCTCCATTTCCCTGCTGTGAAACTCGGACAGGACTGGCTACATGATCTGGGGGCCCAATGCACAATGAAAAGGTGGGGCTCCCTGTTCAAGACTTAGTACAAATCTAGACAGTAACAACAAAGGCTCAAGCTGAGCTTGAGATCCTTCCAAGAGCGGGTCCCTGTGGAAACGCCCAGGCCACGTGCCCATGAAGCTGACCCCCCATCTTCTCTTCCCCAGGTCCTCGTCCCACAGACACACAATCCAGAAGTCACTTTCCTCAAGACATTGGTCAGCCCATCACTCGCAACTCCTCGAAGCTCACCCCCAAGCTGGAAGCTATGACTCTTGGAAACAGGAGTCACAAAGCTGCAGAAGGCAGCGACTATGTGGATGAAGCCTCACACTAGGGGAGCTGGTGGGGAGGTGGGATTTCGTGCACAGCCTCACGTGGGGCTTGGACACGTGGGGGTGGGTGCATGCTAGCCTGCTGCTCTCTGCATTCCTTAAGTGTCTTGTTTGTCCTGCTTGCTTCCAGACATAACCTGCATGAGTCAGTTTTAGGGGATGGACCTGGCGTGGGGATGAGTTCAGGCCAGGTCTTCTGATGGCCAGGAGCAGATGACAGGGAGTTGCTTTGGGGAACCCTTGGTGTGCCAAGAGGAGGTGGGTAGATGGGAGTGGGGCTCGGTAACCTAGCCTGGCCCAGGCCACTCTCTCCACTCTTTCCTGGGCTCGGGGCACCTGCCTTGAGTTACCTTCCATCATGGCTATTTGCTGTGGTTTGAATGTTTGAGTCCCAACAAAATTCATATCAACACATAATCCCAACTGGGCGCAGTGGCTCACGACTGTAATCCCAGCACTTTGAGAGGCTGAGGTAGGTGGATCACTTGAGCTCAGGAGTTCAAGACCAGCCTGGGTAACATGGTGAAACCCCGTCTCTACCAAAAATACAAAAACATAGCCAGGCATGGTGGTGCGTTTCTGTGGTCCCAGCTGCTCCAGAGGCCGGGGAGGGAGGATCATTTGAGCTCAGGAGGCAGAGGTTGCAGTGTGCTGAGACAGCGCCACTGCACTCACTCCAGCCTTGATGACAGAGTGAGACTCCATCTCAAAACAAAAAACAAAAAAAAACCCTTAATCCCCAGTGCAGTGGTATGAAGAGGTGTGACCTTTTGGAGGGGATGGAGTCAAGAGGGCGAGTGGGATTAGCGCTCTCATGAAAGGGTTTGAGGGGGTCTGTTAGTCCCTCTTGCCTGTCTGCCATGTGAGGATGCAGTAACAAAGTGCCATCGTTAAAGCTGAGACCAACCCCTCGTCAGACACTGACTCTGCTGGCACCTTGATCTTGGCCTTCCCAGACCCTGAAACTGTAAGCAATAAATTTCTGTTTATAAATTGCCCGGGGTGAGGCATTTTATTATAGCAGCCTGAGCCAACTGAAACACTGCCCCACTCTCTTCTCACTTGAGGTCTGACTTCCTCAAGGCCCATCGTGGCCACCTGACCTCCTTATCACCCGACCTTTCTAGAATCTTCTCTCCTCAGCCTTGATCTCTCAGGAATTTTCAGCTGAACTCCCAAACTGAAAATTCTTTCCCACCCCTACCCCTGGTCCCCAGGCACTGCTGGAAGTCATTGGCTGACCCATGGGTCAGGTGACTTCTTCTAGCCAGTCAGCAGAGAGTGCTTGTGGATTAGCCCATTTTGACGCTGCTGATAAAGATATACCCAAGATGGGGTAATTTATAAGGAAAAAGAAGTTTAATAGACTCACAGTTCCACATGACTGGGGAGGCCTCACAATCAAGGTGGAAGGCAAAAGGCACATCTTACATGGCAGCAGACAAGATAGAGAATGAGAACCAAGTGAAAGGGGTTTCCCTTATCAAACGGTAAGATCTCATGAGACTTACTTCACTACCACCAGAACAGTATGATGGAAACCATCCCCATCATTCAATTACCTCCTGTTGGGTCCCTCCCACAACACACGGGAATTATGGGAGCTACAATTCAAGATGAGATTTGGGTGGGGACGCAGCCAAACCATGTCAACTTGTTATTTACCAGACCTGACCACCCCGCTAGGGGCTAAGTTCCCCTAGAAGGGCTATGGGCTCTGCAACATTTCCCGAACCACGGGGTGGGGTGAGTAGTGGAGGGATTTGGTGGGGCATGGTGGGAGGAAGATAGAGAGGGATAGAGGGAGGTGGTGATCAGCCGGGCAGGGTGATTGTGGAACAAGGGCTGTGTCCTTCCTTCAATGTGCACATAGGCACACATGTGCACACACACGTGTACACACATACATGCACACACAGAGGCATTCTGCTGCCCGCAATTCCAATGCCACACCCAGCCCTCAGGTGGGCGTTTGTCACACTCTGCTGTGTCTCCTTCACTGGCCTTGGCATCTGACACCCAAAAGCTGATGCCCCCTGGGGCTAATGTCTACCTTGGTAGGGAGGGGCTGGCTCATCACAGGGCCTCAGTAAAAACACTTATTGAACAAACTCATGTCTCCTTGCCCAACTTGACTGGGAGGATCTTTAAGGCGGATGCCTTGACATATTGGTCAGAACCTAGACTGACAGGTAGAACTTACAGTTCATCCGTTAAAGGGGATTTGTAAGACATTGTTTAAGCTCCTAGATCCAGTCATTCCTGAAGCAGAACCTATCCTAGCACTTACCCATTAGAAGAACTGAAAGGTCCCCTTTGTGCTGAAGCCGGTTCCACTGAGATTTCCATTTCTGAAGGGCAGCTGCTCCCTCACCTCCCCTACCCACTCCCCTTAGCTCACTGCTACTTACCCTGAGGCATGACCTTACTGGGAGATTTCAGAGCTCCCAGCCTAGCTGGATGCCTCCTGTCTGCTTCTGAAGCCTCCTCTGCTCCCTACATCAAACCCATACTTCACTGTCCCAACATTTCCTTGTCATTAGTCTAGCTCTATGTCCATCAAGACTCATTCGGTTGTAGATGACAGAAAGCTGAGGCCTGCTTCAGCACAAAAGGGGATACACTGACTCTTCTAACGGACAAGTTCAGGCATAGAGCCTGCTTCAGGAATGTCTAGATCCAGGAGCTCAGGTGATGTCTTAGAACTCAGCCTCGCTCCACCTCCCTGCTGCTTTCCTCTGTTTTCAAAGACAGCCCTTGGCAGCTCCAGGCCCCCACACCAGTAGCTTAGCTACCCAGTGGAGAGGGATGACTCTCCTGACAGCAAAAGCCACAACAGATGGCTTTAATTGTATGCCCATTCCCCACTACTCATTGGCCAGAGGAATGGAAAGCAGTGATTGGCCAACTGGTATCACATAGCTTATCTCTGGAACCAGGATGGGGAGCAACCACCCCCAGTCACATGGCCTAAGGGTGATGGATCAGCTGTTTTCTAAAGTTACCAGGAAAAGCATGCTGGACAGGCTAGAACCTCAGAAGTCCGCTGCATTCCTCAGCTTCGAATGAGGAATTTACTGGGCTCAGGGGCCCTGGCTTTTGACTCTTATATCTCCAGGGTCCAATGTGTGCTGGGCAAGGCCCTTCACTGACCACATCCTGCAGGCTAACCCCTGTGCTGGGCTCTTGGGCTACTGAGAGTGGGAGATGAAGCCCTGTCATTGATAGTGGCTCACAGTGAGCCAGGAGGGGGACACACACAGGCAGGGAGTTCAGAGCAGGAACAATCACAGGGAATCATGGGAGTGTGGGACAGGGGCGCAGACACAGCCTAGAGGGGTTCAGGAGGCTTCCTGGAGGAGGAATAAACTCTCGAGAGCCCATTTTTCAAGACCAGGCAGCGGGAGGAGGCTGTGTAGGGTGGAAATGGTGCTCTAGGCAGGGGCACAGCTGGGGTAAAGTCATGAAGATCAGAACCAGCTGAGTTATTCAGAGAACCACCGCAGTTTGGGTATTGCTGGAGAGCCCGGCGCAAAGAAGAGTGGAGGGAGGCCGGCTGGGGAGGCAGGCAGGGACCAGACCATGGCTGCTTGGGAGTTTGGACCAGATACTGCTGCACAAGTCAGCCCACAGGGAGGACTGGGTCCGTACGGCCATTGTATTGACTATGGGGGATAGGGGCTCTTGTCCCATGGACTGGAGCTGCTCAGCCACACTGTAGGCAAAGTTATCTCAACCACCATGCTGATCTGGGATCCCCAGAGTATTTTCTCATGGAGTATCCAGTTTGCAAACATGAGTCACTAGGCAGGAGGGGATGAGAATGGCATTTGGCGCTCTTTCTGGGCGTGTCTTCCTTCTGCATGGAGCTGCAAATCAGTTGCTTGCCTCAAAGTTTGGCCAAACTCTGTGGATAACCAGGCCCCCTGTCAATGAGAAATCAAAATATGCAGCTTCCACCCCCAGTCTGAACCAGAATACTCATTTTCCCAGCAAGACTTTCCCTGTGTAATTAATTTGTCATAAATACGCTGACAAAGCATTGCTAGCAGTTAATGGGGGCCAGAGGTGAAGGTCAATGTTGGTCTCCTTGTGAAGGAAATTAACTAGATACCGTTAAAAGCAGAGAATGATTAAGTCCATCCGCCTCTCAGCCCGTGCTTTGGCTAGCCCGCCCATCTGCCCCTCCCTTCTGCGATGGTGTGTGCAAATGGAGCTTGCAGCCCCAAGAGCTGGATGCGGGGAGGAGGAATTTGCTCCAGGAGTTGGAAATGATTTTCTGAAACCACCAACCTACTCACAGATACAATTCTATGTTCTCATTCCAGCTGCTCTCCTCCTCTCTGGGTGACCTCAGACAGGACTCCTCACTTGTGGGATTTTACCAGGCAACCAAAACCAGATGCTTAGAGCAGGAAGAAGAGTCTACAGAGGGACTCAAGGGCATTTTGGCTTTGAATGGCAGAAGCCTAGCTCCCCAGGCTCAGACACAATGGTGAATATATTTGCTCATGCAACTGGGGAATCAAGGGACACTCATGTTCAGGAATGCTTGGATCCAGAGGCTTAAGTCTTCCTTTCAGGTTTCTTTCTCTCCATCCCTCTGATGAGGCTCTCTCCACAAGGCCCCAGCCACCGAAGGCTCACGGTCTGCCAGTGTGGAACCCTGGGAGAAAAAGCCATCCTCAAACCAAATGCTGCTGGGAGTATGTTGCAGGGAGGATTCAGATTGGCTGTGCATGGGTCATATGCTGATCCTTGAACCAGTCAGGGAGAATGCAGTTCCCTGATTGACTACTGTGGGGTCCAATGTGCTCTCTCATAGTAGGGGAGGGTGAGGTCCTCTATGTGGGATGTGTTCCCCAAGAAAGAGTGGTTCTGGGATCAGAAAAGGGAAGCAGTGCTGCACCCACAAAAACCAAGTGTCTACTTCAGGGAATGGTGTATGTATGGGTGTTACTTTTCAGAATTCTTCAAACACAGAAAGCCTTTCTTTAGAGAAAGAAAGACAAAACACCCCTTCATTTGAAGGACAATTGTGATGTTGAGGAACTTCACAGATTAAAGGCTCTTCCAAGGTTCCTACAGGAAGTGGGTGTCAGGCTCCCACCATCCTCCTTGGCTACAGGTTGGATGCATGGGATGGACAGTGGCCTTACACAGAGATGGCAGATGCCAGGGACAGGTGCAGCCCAGAGGATGGGTTCTGGTCTAGGTGCTGCCCAGCCCTCCTTGTGCCAGGGGCCCATCATTTGACCCTCCCTGTACCTCTGTCCCTACTTTGTGCAACACCAAGAATTTCTTCTCTGCCTCCCTCACAAAATGTGGGGGCAAGATGCAATTAATGGTCGTGGTGGCTTTCACTTTGGGAGTGTGCAAGGTGGGGTGGACTGAGGGGTCACTAGTAGCCTGTTAGTTACAGAAAACCCTACTCAAATGAACTTCTTTATGTAAAAAGGTGTTTTCGCAAGACATTTGAAGAAAGCTTTTAATATGAAGGTCAGACAAAAGCAAGCAAACATACAAGAGAAATT